TGATAATTCAAATTTCACACACTGATAAGATGACAATAAAATTGGTCATTAATTCCGAAAATTGTTCATAGCAGATGATCGTGTTTATTGAACTCTTTATAACTTTAGAGATTCATGCGGGAGGCCAAAATAATATATGTAAAATCACAAATGTATATTGAGTTTTAGTTGCGGAATTTATAAATGGTTGCATTCAAATGAATTTTATTTAATGTATGCAAGATATGACGTTTAATAGTTACAACTTAACATTATTCTTCAATTATTTTATAGAAATCTATATTATTACTTCATAAAATAAATGCACCAAGCGATACCTTATGATAAAAGCAATACAACTCATAAAAATCTGAATAAAAATGACTACTATGGTTAATGTTCGTTCATTCATCGGGCCAAATTTTAATAATAATAAATTTAATAGGGTAAAATTATTAACTTCAACGCTATTTTCTAATTCAGTTATTTTAGCAAGACCAAGTGATGAAAAAATTTTAAGAATAATAAGGGCCGAGACACCTAATGGTTTTTGCAGATTAACCTTACTGTAATCCAACTTCTGCGTTGTTTGATTGAATCTATCGGAAAAAAAAAAAAAAAAAAAAGTAAATACGTGCAAAAACAAATTTAAATTGATATTCACTTATCTACTTACTTTGGCATGCGATGCCGCGGGCAATCTACCAATTTGAATAATTGGGGCGCTGAATATATGAAATTGAATATTTGCGGCATAAAAAATAATAGTAAAGTTTTACTGAAATGTGCTAGTATTCCTACTACTGTAAATGTCATTCCAGCAAAATAACAGTACGTGTCTCCAACAAAGACACGTGATGGATACCTATAATAATGTTTAAATTTTAAAATAATTCTAAATAAGCAAATAAATAAATTTGATTTAAACATACCAATTATGCGTAAATAATCCTAATGAGACCCCAATGAAAGGAAGAATGAAGTATAATGAGAATAAATGTGCCTCAACGGCAGGACTAGATCCGTTTAAGAATAAGTAATCATTTATTGCAATTGAGCACGCGATAATTAATGATTGTCCAATTTCTACACCATTAATACCAGCCAGAATATTAATAGAATTAGTGCAAAACACGGCTACCATACTCATATAAACATAATATAATATTCCTGTTTATTTATTTATTATTTTAATTTTAGAAAAGTTATTTTTAAAGATAACCTAATACGTACAATTAATAAATGCAGATATCGATACAACTCACCTAAGTCAACAAATCGCCCAAGTAGAAATCGTAATGGTATTGGCATAATTATATGAGTTTCTCCAAAATTTACATAATACACCATCAACAAAGGAATAGATGCGATAGTTGGTAATAAAAGTTTATATCTCCATCGAATATCAAATACGTCATCAGCAAATCCAAGAAAAGTCATTGATTGTAAAGACAGCATTGCCGATAAAAATTCACCTAACTAAAAATTTATTTATACAATTATATTATTAATTATC